CCTGCCATGAAGGTCCTACTGGAGAAGCTCGCACAACGCCAAGATTTGACTGCCGAAGAGATGGTAGTCATCATGGATACCATTGCACTGGGAGCTGCGGACCCCATTCAAATTGGTGTGTTTCTATCCCTGCTGCGATCCAAAGGAGAAACCCCTGTCGAAGTTCAATCACTCGTCTCCGTCATGCTCCGCCACGCACGCCTTGTGCCTTTGCAGGTGGGGTGGACTAGGCCATTATGAACGCAGTATTGACGCAAGGAACACTATAGCAAGATGTAAAGACCCTGGACATTGTCGGAACGGGTGGTGACGGAGCGAACACTGTCAATTTATCGACCTCCGCAGCGATTTTGGCAGCGGCTTGTGGTGCTAAAGTAGCCAAGCACGGAAATCGCTCTGTTTCCAGTCGGTACGACTATTATATTTCTGCATGACCTCTCGAATATTGACGGATGGCACACAGGTCAGGTTCTGCTGACGTGCTGGAAGTGATGGGTGTGCCGATGTTGGAGCCCCAGCACATTTCACCATGCATCAACGAAGCGAATATTGCATTTATGTAAGTCTACCAGGAAATATTGGGCATTATAAATCACCATGCATGCAGGTATGCGCCGCATTTCCATCCTGCCATGAAACATGTTGCTCCCGTCCGCAAGTCCATGGGTATTCGCAGTGTTTTCAACGTTTTGGGACCTCTCATCAACCCAGCCAAGTGCCAAACCTCCGTCATTGGCGTATACACACCATCGCTGTTGGACCTATTTGGACAGGTGCGACGATGATCCCTGAACGAACGACTGACTTAGCTTGTCTCAAGGTTCTCCATTTGATGGGAGTTGAACATGCATTGGTGGTACACTGCGCTGGCCTTGACGAGCTGAATCCCATCGGCGACGCAGAAATTGTCGAAGTTACTCAGGTTGAAATGCCTCACACTTAGTAAGGCCGTCGTGCTCATCTTTTCCATTAGCAAGGATGCCAACGATACACATTGACACCCGAAGAAATTGGCATTCCTCGGTGCACCCTCAAAGACTTGGAAGGAGGAGATGCTGACGAAAATTGTCGGATCTTGCGTCAAGTGTTTCAAGGTGGCGAACATTGCGAAAACGCTATCGGGAACACGATTGCCTACAATGCCGGAGCAGGTAGATTTCCCGTCCGCGCTGCTCCTCGTCTGACCGTGAGTTGTCGTAGGGTTGTATGTGTACGGGTTGGCCAACACAATCAAGCATGGCTACGAAGTGGCGAAGGCTGCGCTGAAAGCTGGCGAGGGTACTACTTACTCTTTCATGTCTTCGGTACTCTGACACAGGGAACGATGTGTAGCTCTGAAGACGCTGGACCGCTGGAGCGAAGTAGCGACGCGGTTGCATGCCTCGCCACGTGCTGTCGGCCAATAATGTTGTCATGAAGTTTAAATTCGCAAAATACGCTTTGTGTTGGGTTGTGAAGCAGAATCCGAGCGCGACGTTTCATTGGCTGACGAAAGGTCGCGTTGTCCGGATACTGAAAAACGTGGCAAAGAACTGAAGTTGTTGTCACACCTTTACTGTGGTTTTCTGAACCACCTTTGGCAGTCCCATTTCCCATTTTATGGCGACGACGAGATGATCTACTACAGTCAAGACGAGTTCTTCACTCTGTTGTCCAAAGTACAAGGGTCGGCTTTCCGCGGCAACGGCCCTCGTCGCGCCCTCCTCATGGCATGGTTTGCGACGGTGGTTATGATCGGCAACCACGTGTACTCGATCGCATTTTTCAATACCACGGTCAGTGTCGCGTGCACGTACACCCTCAACGTATTCAACGTGTTCCTGGGTCTGCTGATTTCGTTCCGACTCAATTCCGCCTTCAATCAATGGCGGTCTGGTGTTGTGGCCATGGGATCTGTTGGCGACGCTGCCCGCGGGTACGTCACCGAGACCAACGGTACCACGTATGACATGATCGTCGATAGGATTGTGTCGTCGACTATTGCATTCTTGGACTTGGGGGTGGACGGCGAAGAGAAGCTGCGCTTTGCGAGTGAATTGCGTCGACTTGTCTGCTTGTACGTGTCGATCTTGGTGCAAGACGCAAGAGGGTGTGCACAAGAAGACTTGAGTTCATTTATCCAGTGTCATCTGCTTGCTGAAAATGAAGCGGAAGAAATGAAGCGATGTGGCGTCGTGTGTAACCGGGCTCGCGTGCAAAAAGGTCGTGGTGTTACCGTTGCGCAGGCGAACCCGTACAAGTTGCGGTCGTCGATGGTGGAGCTTTGGGTACGCTTAAACTTTCATTTATCATGGCGTGCGTGCTGAATGCGGTCGTGTAGATCCGTCGATTGATCCAAATCGCGCACCGGCGAAACTGGTATGGCATGCCGCAAACGGCCGCCCTCAACGGATACGTGTCGACCCTCGTCAGCTTATACTCGACGATCTACAACATTGCCAACATCCCTATTCCGTTCAACTACGCTCACTTCCTCGTCGTCGTCATGACCATCTACCTGACTGTGTACACGTTTGTGATCGTGCACTCGTCGAGCTACTTTACCCCATTGTGGGTGTACGGCTGGGGCTTTGTCATTTTTTCCGCAGATGACGTGGCGCGTGAAATCGAATGTCCTTTTGGCACCGATGCGAACGACATCGATTTGGAAAACCGCATTGTGCGCATCGAAGAAGAGCTCGACGTTGTCCTCCGAAGTGCATACATGCACGAAATGGCACTGCGTGCAGAGGCCATGGGATATTCGTCCCATTCGACCAACTCAACTGATTCCGCATGTGTTGACAGCATGCCTCTGTCCGAACTAAGTGACCACGTTGACGCCGAAGAAGTCAGCAACTCACCGCCTGAAATCCCCATGCCCGTGGCGCCATTGTTGCGGTTCATGCTCACACACTCGACGGCTGAAATGGATACGCCAGGATGCCTCAATGCAGCCGAAGAGGGACGGGCGCCTCCTGAGGGAGAGCCGTTAACTACAGCGACCGTCCAGCCAGGATATGGCTCGGTTAGCTCTGTCCGCGACGCTGTCTGGTTGTAGTTGGTCCTGTTGAATTCCTGGCCGCTGGATACAATTGAACCAGATACAATGTAGTATTTGTGGGTTGTCCACTGCTTCAAGTACATTCCTGAAGTACATTACATGTCATACAATCCGTACATTCTGTGTTGTCGAGCGGTTACACGTTCGAAACCAGCTCGCCCTCTGCTGTCTTCGATGTCGTCATCACGATGGCTCGCTTACAAGGCGCTCGAGTTTGTGGATGTCGCTGATAGACATGCTAAATTTGCCCATGCATGCTCGTGAGAATGCTGGGGCAGTGAAGTGCGGGACTTGCACAGTGCTTCGATGCGGGATTTGCGGATTTGCCATACCTACGAGCGCTGGACAACTGGGTCGTGCGCACATCCACACAGCCAAAGAGAGACTCTATGCAAAGTCACGTTGTTGTGGTTGTGCACCAATTCGGACACCATTTTTCGAACCTGGCGTCGATGTATCGGTTTCGTGGTGACGAAAGGGGGCTGGCTGGGAAAAATTCGTTCAACTGGTCTAGGTCCACCATATTCTTTCTTAGAAGTATCCATATTAAGAGAATGCAACTGAATATTTCAAGCGAAAAACTTGGATGAAAGCATATTATTTGACAAAGGTTATGAATGATTGAGATTGGTCCAAGCGCTTCAACATCCTTGTTGTGCCTTGTAGTTATGGCTTGGAGTGCGAGCTCATTTCGAAATTTGCCCTGCGTCAAGATGCCCCTGCTTGTACCCACCAAGAAAGACTGTGTCGTTGTTGTGGACCCGTTCTCGACGGGCTTATGCCTTGCACAAGACGTGATGCGCCGCGGGTATGCTTGCATTGCCGTGTACAGCGAAACCGAGGAAGTGTTTGCCGATTGGATGGCGACGCTGTCGGCGGACATGCGCAAGTCGTTTGCTGGCGAAGTGTTTCATGATGGCTCGGACGATTCGGAAGAGGAATTGCGACGCGTCGTCAATGGCATCCTTTCATTCGGGTACAACGTGGTCGGCGTCATTGTCGGGGCAGAGCCTGGTGTGCAATTGTGTGATCGCCTCTCCGAGTACATGCGTCTAGTCACGAACGGGTCGGCAGGGTCTGAAGGCCGACGCAATAAATACGTGATGGGCGAAAAGATTCGATCGGCGGGCATGCGTGCCGTGAAGCAGTGCTTGGCGTCGTCATATGAAGTGGCTGAGGAATTTATTAAGTCGATGTTGAAGCCCCAACCCTTTCGTGTCATTGTCAAGCCCGTCGACAGTGCCGGCAGCGATGATGTGACGCTATGCACATCGTTGGACGAAGTGCGCTACTGCTTCCGCAACGTGATTGGCAAGATCAACCACCTCGGTATTGAAAACACCAGTTTGCTCGTGCAAGAGTACTTGGAAGGCACAGAGTACGTCGTCGACACAGTCTCCCGCAACGGAGAACACAAGGTCGTGGCGGTGTGGGAGTACGACAAGCGATGCGCCAATGGTGCGGCCTTCGTGTACTATGGTGCGCTTTTGCGTGAGGCCAAAGGCGACGTCGTCCTGTCGATCGTGGAATACGTTTTCAAGGTATTGGATGCGCTGGACATCCAGCATGGCCCGGGCCACGCAGAAGTCAAATTTGTGCGAGGCGAACCGTGCTTGATTGAAATTGGTGCGCGTTGCCATGGGCGTGAAGGCACGGACATGCCTATTCTGGACCGTTGCCAAGGTTACAATCAAGTCGGTGCGACGGTGGACGCTTACTTTGACAAGCAAGCATTCCAGGCGCTTCCAAAGATGCCGACAAACTTGAAGGCGCACGGAATCAAGACAACACTGGTGTCGTACGAGCATGGTGTGCTTCATTCTATGCCCGGATTGTCGGAGATTGAGTCGATGCCATCATTCGTGGACAAGAAAATTCGGCACACAGAGGGAGTGAAAATGGCGCCCACTATTGACATGTTTACAACTCCTGGGTGTGTGCTCATGGTGCACCCGGACGCGAATGTGTTGACCCAAGACTACGAACGCATTCGCGCGCTAGAGGTGAAAGGGTTGTACAAGTTGAAGAAGGAACCGGAGCACCCTCCCAAATCCAGCGCGATCAAGGGACTCTGCAGTGGCGGGATCAAAATGGACGTGCACCACATTCCCGTCGCGACATCGTAAGCGATGAGGGCTCTTGCTAGACCAGCGCAACAAACAGCACGCATGGCCCTCCTTGTGAGGAGCAATGGCCATATTTAATGTTGAATGTGGTTTTGCATCATGTTGAAGCGTGAGTTTGTCCCATAGATCGTGGGACATCGCCGCCGCAACCACTTCAACTTCGCCTTAACCCATTTGATTGGCTGTTGGTCGATTTTGCATCAGATGATATCACGTTGCGCCAGATTCGTTTGTAATGATTATTGAATCTTCTTGTCGCGCCATCAAGGATGGCTGCGCTCGTTGGGATATAAAGTTTGAGTGAGCCACGTCTTGCGGATAGCAAGGGCGAAATGTCCACTTCAACGTCGCCATTCGCGCTGCTGAATTCATCGATCCATCTGACTCGGTTGAGTTCCATCCAAACGTGATCTTGCCTTCATCTGGACACCCATTGGCCTCGCCAACCGTTCGAAGCCAATGCAATAGCACGAGGCTCTGGTTCGATGGAGAATAGAATGTGTGAGGCTGGTGAATTGAGATTCCCACTTCATGCTCACGTAGCAAGGACGAATCTCAACCGAAACTGTTTTTGTACGGTTCACTGAGAGGAATCGTACATCATGTAGCCGTACGTCAAGTGCACGTACGACATGATGTTCCGACATATAATGTCTCCAGCTGGATTATAACCAATTAACATAACTGCTAAATATTTTGATCAACTTTTATGTCGACATGAATAATTGTACTTGTGCGAGATTTTAGACAAAATGAAACAGGAGGACGGCATATTGTACATGTTAAATATCTCAATCAAGCGGCATAACGCGGAGAGGCTTCACACAGATTGCATCGCGGGAGACTGGACGTCCACCACGTCAATTCGCTTCCGTATCCATCCGCTGGAGCGTGCCTCAAGTGTCTGCCTCCTTGTGATCAGTTGAAGCGCGAAATGAATCAGTGTACCTCATGAATAAGCTGGCTCAAGGACGATTCAAGATGGTTATGGCATGTGAGACGTTGCAACGCGTCAAAGTATTCATCCATCGTACGACGGGAGGCTGGAGACGATCCGTCAAGTAAGTCTCCCACCTATGCAGAGGTACGTCAAGTCAATCGAAACGAGAGCACAGTGTGGCTCACTTGAAGGAGGAGTTGGCATGCGGCTTGCAGTACTTGCGGCGCAGGATGCACAGATTCCAAATCTGCATCAAGCATCATGGCCACACACACATGCATAATGTTTTCTGTGAGGAGTTGTCTAAACCAAGACAGCATTATTGCACCACATGGCCAATTTGTAGGGACAACGCACCGTCGAAAGAGCTCGCCTATCAAGCCGACATTGCCCAGCATGCTTTGGCGCCGCCACGACTGTTGGGACATCGGTACGTCACTTGAAAAGGTTCTAACCACAGAGTATTTACCGCATGGTCAGCTTCTTCGACAAGCGCTTCATAACACTTGGTGAGCAAAATGCGTCGGAAATTAATGGTTCTGGCGCCATCTTTGAAATCGGGGAGAGAGTCTGAAAGACCCGAGCAAAATGGAGCGTAAAATTGGCTACAACACTTGCTGACGCACAAGGTTTGCAAAGCATGGAAGAGACCTCAGCTCCGGCGCGGCTATCGCCCGGTCAAACAAAACGCCCACGACAGCTTGCAGTGACAACGTGCACGTCACGGGAATGTCATGGAACGAGTTGATGGTTTCGTCGACGGAGATTAAGTTTGCTGGCGGCAGGTTATCGAGCAAACTGGAGACTTCGATGTGACATGTTTGTTCAGTGCCGTTGAAATACCGGTTCAGTTTGGCGATAGCGTCCTTCATTTCGTCCTCAGGGGAATCAGTCGGTTTATGCCGCGGTTGCTTGGCCTTGTTGTCAAGGTCCGGGGAGGTCTGCGGTGGGGTGCTCCATTCACTTCCACGTTGAAAGGCCCGACGTAACATACCGTGCGAAAGTAGGCGTATGCATTTGGGTCGTAATGGAGCACGGGCTGGGAAGCGGCGGCGGCAGCACGCTGCTTTTCTCGCTTTGCGGCCAATTTGGTCTTTTCCTTGACAGTGCCTCCGCACATGGCGTTAATAGTGACAAAGTCAAACCCTGGAGGCGCATCGGTGAAGAACGGGCGGAACTAGCCGATTTTGTGAGCGCGACGTAAGCGGACTTTGGAGTCAACTGAACCTGTAAGAGCTCTGCAATCGAATAATGCTGCCGCCCGCGAACAATTCGACCAGCCTGTACCAGACAGTATCAGTACCAAGAATCCAACTTGAGGCCAAATTCAACGTCATCTGCATACTTCGGCTAGTTCGGCCAAGGTACGCACTGCTGGTAACGGGGTCTAGGTATGTGTGGACCATCAGGATGGAGGAATGAAAATGAGGAACCTTAGTACCTCGATGGGGACCGCAAGATGCGGCACGGCATCAACTGGTACCTTGTTCGAACGGGTGCTTTTAGGGAGATTTACAACGGCATTTGTTGGCGTTATGTTCCCTTTGTTCTTCTTCGAGACACCTGGAGATGGAGCTGCAGGTGTCGTTACCATTGCAGCCGTCACAACCTCGACTGGAACAACAAAGCTATATCCCGTTCAGACATCCACCACGGCATCACCTTCAATACCTAGGGACAAATGCACCAGCATTTGGGTTTAACTTGGACGACATGGAGACAGAATTGATCAATTTGGCTTCGCGCGGCGTCGGCGGCTTCTGTTCTTTGGAACCACCCCAGAGTTTCCAGGGGACGTACGGTTAACGCCGAAGTGGACCGGATAATGGTTTTTCAACGTAGTAACAATATTGGTGCGTGTTATATTAATATAGTACAAGCGTTGAATTCTTGATTGCACTTCGCACTCACATTTTTTTCCAGAAAAGATATGACATACAATCACTTATATATTGTTTTGGATGGATGCAAAACGTCAGTTTTATACTAGTACATTGCAAGTTGCAAATATTACTAGCCAGTGTTGTGAATCCAATTCGCCCACTGCACCACGGTTCTTCACATCAGATCGAGGGTGTGGAATTAAGCAAAAGAGGTTGATGCTTCCAGCACCTGTCACCAGCAGTTCTCCAAGTGACCCCTCGTTTCATGTGTGCCAGTTGACGCTTGCATTCCTCACGGTTGGCCGCAGTGGAAGCTGAGCCAATTTGATTGGTTTGCTCATGCATAGAAAATTATTTTCGTACTAATCCTTACATTTGTATAAAAAATAAATGTTCTCAATTAAATTTTCCGGCAGCGAGAACTGTCGTTTTCGCGCGAGGCAAGGCTACGGATAACGATTCAAATCTACCGGCGGCACATTGACTCAAAAGACCCAGGCACCGCCAGCTCTCCATGGGCCGCGGACCATCGCCAGTCCTCAAGGGAGTCAAATGCATCGTCGATGTTCGTATGTCGGCAGGCGACGCCGACGTGGACTGCTCGGCGGCAGTAAGCGAAAAGCTGGAGAGCCTGGGAGCGAAGGTCATGAAGAGGTTGGGCAGGGACACAACTCACGTAGTTTGGCTCAATGGTAACCGCAATGTTCGCGAAGACACACTCAAACGCAACGAAGTCAAACTTGTTGGCCCACTCTGGGTCGAGGCATGCTTGCAGACGGCGACGCGCGTCCCCGAGACAAAGTTCTTTCCCGTTGAAACTACAGCGAACAAGTCGACACCATTGCCAACTCCAGCCGCAGAAAAGAAGAAGCGCCGGCGGTCGAGTCTAATGGAACCTCGTCGTGAAGATGTGTTTGATGAGCTGACGACACCCATCAAGAAGAGTCGGAGGGTAAGTCCTTGAACAACCTTGCGTAGGACAAATATGCCGAACGTGTGATTGATCTTTAGAAAACTCTGGAACAAGTTACCCCGCTAGCGATTACTCTCACGCCTCAAGAAGGTGTTCAAGCTCGAAGCTTGAGTCTATGCCGTCAATCTAGGTCTCCTGACTGCGACGGTAAGATTACGATGTTGATTTCATGCACCGATGGCAAGATGTAGAAATTTCGCAATCTACGACTCCCGCGAACTTGCCAACTGTCCATGAAGCGTTTGACCTGCCATCTCAGTCTGGTAAGATGCAGCCAACATCGTTCGTAAAAGCTCTGATCGTGCTCCCTTGAACCAGATATTCGCGTCACACGCCAGAGCATCGAGTCCAACAATCCAACGCCTCTTTCGAAGGCAGCTCCTGCGTCGAAGCGCGAGACAAAGCGCCTAAGTACCCCTGCCTCAACCGCTCGAGCAACCCCGAAAAGTACCGCAAAAGTCGTCAACCAGGTCTCTTGACTGTTTAAACACACCCGCATCGCACTCACGTGATGTTATCAGAAGGATTGGCCATGTCCATCGTGTACGTTCGACAACCATCGTCTGGCAAAGCGTTGTAAGTTGTGCGGGACGCCGTCCACGGGCGGCAAGCCTTCTCACGTGACAGAGTTGACGGATGATTTGGTGGCCACGAAACCCTCTACGAGGCACTGCAATAAGCAAGCTGGGGTGCCCACCACACCGTCGCCACTGCCATCATCGAAGCAGCGCCAATCCACTCCGATCATTGGTACACCAAAGCAACGTCCACTCGCTCAACGACGCATAAGCACGGCAAAATCGCCTTCGATTCCTCGCGTGAAACCCGGCACTCCCGACAAGGCATCTGAAATTTCACCCGCTCTTTCGAGACTTTTACAGACTCTTCTAGACAACCAAAGTGGGCAAGTCGCCGCCGGAAGCAACCAAGGCAAAAAAGATCGGGGACAAGTACAGTGATAAAAGCACGGAAGATGCACCAAACCAACTGACCAAACGAAAAAGGGTGAAGTCACTCGAATCAATTCGCGCTGTAAAGGCCAAGATGTCATATACGTCGACGGCAGTGGAAGAAAAGGCCATGAAAACGCCACCAAAGAAGAGCGCCACGTCGAATAGGGCAACAACTGCAATGTCAACGGCGACAACAGCGACACCCGTGAATGGGGTGTCGGGGTTTCGGCCAGCGTCTGTTGGAAGCAAGGTACTCGGAACTCGTGTCTGAGCATTCCGATGATGTCACATCCGCCTAGACAAAGCGCATTTCACGCCATGTGATCAGCGTGAGCGGAGCGACCCTCGACACGCGCCTTCTTCTCGAAAGCTCCATGCGTGAGATCGATTCGAGTATTTCTCACAATCTTGCATGGTGCAACTAACTTCTGATGAATGAGTGTGATGGTGTAGGCAGTGGGGGAGGCAAGAGCCGCATTGTGGATGACTTTGCAGCGCCTGTGACGCATGTCGTTGTGTCGGACACTTCGAAGCGCACGATGAAAATTCTCTTTGGACTCGCGCAAGGCGCGCACATTGTTTCCGACGCGTGGGTGTATTCATCTCTTGAGGCCAAGAAGTGGCTGGACGAGACGCCATTTTTGATGGCCCAGTACCCAGTGCCCAAGGTAATCCCGTCAACTCTTTGAACATGGTGTCGGTCACGAAATACAACACGTAGACTCGCCCTCCGCGGCTTTTTCAAGGCATAAAGGTGTACGTTGCAAGTGGTGTCGACCCACCAAAAGCGACGCTACAGGCGTTAATTGTCGCCGCTGGTGGCCAGGTACCCAGTTTTGATTCAAAAGAGTGTCATTACGATTTGTGATGCGTGCATAGGCGTGCACGCAAATGACGGTGGCGTCCGTGTGCATTGGGGTGGAACCTGCGGTCGGCCGTCGGGCAAAGCAGGCAGGGATTCCGATGGTGTCGCCAAAGGTAGCTAGTCTTTCGTCGCCAAGCGTGTGTTTGCTCATGGAATGTTGAATCGACTGTAGTGGTTGTTCGACAGTTTGGCCAGGGGAGAACTCGGAGCCGTCGCCCCCGACGGATCGGGCCAGTCGTGAGTGTTAATGTACAGCATTGTATTTTACGACAAATTCGCACCACCCAACTAGTCGTACAAGTTAAACGCGGGCTCGACGGTGGACGCAAAGGATGACCGCAGGACAAGACTGGGACTTGCGCTCGCTTGCGATTGTGCCCACGACGGTCGGTTCGACCTGTCTCCCATCCACAGGCAGTCCGTGACTACGCACCACGTCTGTCAGAAGCCATTTTGTTCGACAGCGCAGAACGGGGACACTTACAAGGATTGCCCGCCAAGTTGCCGCACTGGTGCTGCATGAAGCACGACATGCACACCTTGTGCTTGGACGTCTTTGTGATGCGGCGCATGCACTTGGAACACACCACCTAGCACGATGCAACGGCGTGACTTGATACAAGACCATTCCGTTGCAGGGGATGGAAGGACGACGTACTTGATGGCAGGTTTCGCAGGTCTCTGGTCGTCGAAACAAGTGGAATCGCTTGGCGCAAAACACGCAGTGCTTGCGAGTGGCGCGGTCCGCCGTCTACAGCGGCACGAACATGGGGCCAGGCTCGACGAATTGGGTCTTGGGGCATGGATGGTACCTCGATTTCGTTGTCACCGTACTGCGATGACGGCGACCGCGGGGACCTCTGGACGCCGGAGGCCGTGCTGCTAATCTGGGACAATCGCATCGAGTGCCGATACACTTGAATGCGCTCGTTGAGAGTGTCAAAGTGCTTGAACATGCCTTGGATCATGGACTTGACAAAAAGCTTGGAAGCCATCGACGTCTTTTTGTCGCACAGCAACATGATGTTGGCACGAGAGATCGATTCGACGTCGTCGTGGTAGACGACAATGCCCGAGTTTTGAATGTTGCCACGAACGTAGCCATGGGACTCGAGCAAGGACGGCGCACTGCGATGGTCGATCGAGTGGATGCAACGCGCCCAACCGGTGCGACCGTGCGCGTCTTGGAAAGAATCTAGGTACTGTCGCCAAGTGAGAAAAGGAAACACGAGCCGTGCAGATGAACCTCAAGCACGACGAAGTCGCGAGGCTTCACCATGGGCACAGATGACGCCATGGCAAACCACCGCAGAGCCAGATAATGATGGGGGTGGTCGGGTGTCGGCACTTCAAGAGTGTAGAGGAGTTTGGTGTCAATGCACTGGTTCACACGGCAATAATTCTCGGTGGACGTCATGGCCGTGAGATGATACGCACTGACATCACCAACCGTGCACCCTTTGACGATCGTAGATCCATGGAAGAGCGATGCATGCGCGAGGTTGATAGACGTGTTGCTGGCCGACTTGAAGAGTGCCCCTTTCGGCCCGATGAGCCGCGTGCTTTCGATAAAGTTGCGAAATGCGTTGGTGGCGACGACGACGAGCATTTCTTGTTCCTCGATCGAGAGCTGCGGCGACGTAAACATGGACCTGGACGAGTTCATGACGGTGGCGGCGCTGCTGGTGCTGCCAGTGTCGTTCCAAAAGTGATGCAGCGAACGCCGGTCTGACAGAGGTTGGAAGGGGCCGAGACGGTCGGATCACTTGGCACGACGAACGGAATAGGATCTAATGTCCCGATCCTATACAAAATCAAGTCTAAAGTACATGCACGACGAGAAAGTCGAACCCGCCGAACAAGACAACCTGATAACGTTAAACTTGAAAATTGTATACCTGGCCACCCGTTCGAGTTTTCGCTCTTGCTACATTCGGCACAAATATGATTTAACCCGAGCGATGAAAAGTATAGGTTAAACACGTCGGCAGCCAGAACAATGCCGTGGGAGGGTGGGGGACAACGGTCAAGACGGCGTGGGTGCAGACCAAGGGCGCGGCATGCACCGCCAACCACGCGGCTGCGATGGCTCACCCACAGTCAATGAATGTGTCGGAAGGACCAGTTGCTCGAGGCTCCATCCATTCAGCGTGGGCTGCTTTCTATCGGTCGAGTTGTCGTCGATATGCACCAAACGCATCGAGTCACCGTTGCTGCCCAACGCGACTACAAAACGCGACATTCGTGTGTCGACTTCCACCGTACATCTGTCGAATCCATTCCTTACGACATGCAGATGAGGCAACCCAAGGCACAACTCCAAACGGGAGACGTACTCGAGCACAGTCCCACTGCGCCGTCCGCTACACCTCCGCAAGACGTATCATTCGGCAGCCTGTGGCGCGGCCCTTCGCCAACGGTTCGTGGTGTTGAGCCTCCTCGTTGGGGAGCAGCACCCAGTAGATTTCTGGATAAAACGTATGTTTCGAAATGATGTTAAAGTGTGACTCGCCATGAGACAAAGTTCAAGTCGAATACGAGCGTGTTTCTCTGGAGTGACGGGCTGCACATCGCGTCCATCTCGATCGCAGCGTCGACTTGATTCTGCAACGGACTGGCCTCGCCCGCGGACCAGACGCGTGCTTGCTATCTATGCCAGAGTAGATATGTCCATTGACGACGTCGTCCACGGGAGGTGCAGTCAACGTACAGCGCAGCCGCTGGTGCCCACCCACATGCGTTCGTTGGTGCACACCCCGCCACGCCCTTGTAGTACTAACGTTCACCTTGTTTTTGTGTCGTGATGATACCCACGACCTGAATCCATCAAGGACATGTGCAGACCCCGCAGACAGCCTGGTCAGGGGCAATGGACCCAGGTGGAGCACCCGCAATCCTGCGCGTCATGAGGTTATCAAGTTGACGCGAGGAGACCTGGAGAATCCTATCGGGTTGGACTCGCTTGGTTGCCATGCCCGGTATCGAATGCACGACGTCGACTGGGCTCGACGATCGCCGACATCATGCGCCGTGGGTGCAAGGTCCATTTGACATCGGTTCTTGCGTTATAAATTGAACTGTTCGCCCACCATCCCAGCCACCACATGCAGCGTTAGCTCGATTCAACAAAGTCGACATGCACTTGAAGAGACATGTCGCCGACGTAAACGGGGTCCGTGATCGTCAAGAGCGCGTCATCCTTCCCAAGCAATGCCCCCAATGGCTTGTCCAAATTGCCCTTGGTCGCTTCGAACAGCGCGGGCGGGTTCGGCATGAACAAGTTGCCTTTGCTTGAGCTCACAGCCGGGTTCGAGAGCCGAAACATGGTCTTGAGCTACGTACGAGCAGAATCATGATGCCATGCGATGACGGAGCAGTTGTCGCACCTCATCCAGAGCCTCCTTGAGCGACTTGCTCGGATCCACCGTCACGACGTGCGTCTCCGAAGCACACACACTGCAATAGTTTTTTTTCTAGACTCGCATTCTCATGAATGGCTCGTGCGCACGCAATCTTTGCCCGAGGTACCTCGTACACAAACGTGTGGCTGTAAATGCCCGTCGTTCCCATGTGCATGTGATAATTGTTCATCGTTTGGCTGCAGTACGTCATTGCCTTCAGCGCTTCGTTCACGCACATGGCCGAAATGATCTGCCGCTATGTCATCACCACGACCAACAAGGCCACCCCCCTTTGCACGTACTGCATTCGTGGATGCCACGGCAGGGATGATATTCTTGACGACGCCCAATGTCAGGTTGTACGTCACCTACGCAGGGTGCCGATAAGGACGAGAAGACTGCAGCTCAAAGCACCCACGCCTTGGATCCCAAATTTGGTTGCGCGGGCTTCGGCTTGCTGGAACACCCATTGCATGTGCTCTGGGGAGTCCGTGTCCATTTTTGTGTCGGGAAAGTGCTTGGGCCACAGAATGATCGACGCGTACGAGATGCAATGGGACGGTTGCCGTGGGGTTTCAGCAATCGTGCACAATGGGAACGACGTCGGCGGTGGAAACGCATCCAACGAGCACTCGAAGCACGACGTGATGCGAGGAAGGATGACACGGGCCTGGCCTTTGAACCCCTCCGTGCCGCCGTCGATGAACGGAATCACCGTGCTATCATGAATACATCAGGTGTGGAATACGTTGACAAAATACCTCGGGTCGATGTCGCCGTCATCGTCAAACTCCACGATGGAGACTAGCACAGAGTTGACATAACGTCGTGCATCGATGTTGTCCAGTCCCGAAATGACCAGCTTGAACTCGCTGTAGAACGACGTGTCCAACGTTTTCAAGTTGCAATAGTGTGGGGTCACCTATGCCGTTCGACGAAATTGGGCCATCGCGATGAACTGAAGCGGGGGGCAGGGCTCATACCTTCACGCCATCAATGCGCCCGTTGATAAACTTGGCAGCAACGGTCGCTTTCGGCTGACCCACGTCTGCACGTCTAAAGAGGAACTGGCGGTTGAGGTTCGACACGTCGATGGTGTCCATGTCGACGACGTGAATGTCCCGAAACCCGGAGAACGCCAGGTCCTTGAGGATCTCACACCCCAACCCCCCCGCACCCAAAACGAGCACCTTGGCCTCGTTGTGGAGAAAGTCGATGGTCGCTTGTCCTGGAACAAACTCGCCAAGCCCCATGGCTTCGTTTGTTTCGTTCCCGAACGGCGTCGGACGATGGAGAAGACGGTAAAGGTCCCAGTGACGCACGTTGCCGCGTCGACTTCCTGTCATGTTCGGCTTTTGTTTCTTGCCCACGGGGGAGTCTTGGTGATGCGGAGTTGCGGCGCCGACAAACTCCGGCATACAGGACAGAATGCAGCTCGCCCGAGTACACAACTCATCCGGATTGCCGACGTGACCGGATGAAATTATCCGGAGGACCTCGTTTTGCCATGTTGCCAGTCAGGCAAAAGAACGCCGTCGATAAGAGGCGCAAGCGGTCGCCGCCGAAGGCTGCAATGGCTTTCCATTACCGAGTAGATGATCGATATCGAATGCGGGGTGATAATGACGAGAACAACCCACGAGAGAGATCTCTGCATAGGCGAGGGGAGAATTTGCCACAACAGGACATTGAATCGCAGGAGTGCCGAGAGTTGGTCGAGAGAGCGACTTGGATGGCACAGCCACACAACGGTACATGATACATTGTTTCACGAGATTAGAATATGGCAGGCTCAGCGCCAAAGTCATAGAAATGCCGCTGCTCCACTGGCTTGATGAACTCGAGGTTGGGGGGGTCCAAGCTGCGCACTTGAATGTTTTCACGTTCGAGGGTGACAAACACAGTGAGGCCGGACTCGTAAAAGTTACTTCGGTACACGCCTGCCAAGACGTCAAGATCAGTTTGTGCATGCCACGCGTCGACAATGGCTGCGTACCAGCAAAATAAAACGGAAGCAACTGCTGATTGTGTGCAAATTGGACTGTGCCGTTGTCGCGCTGGTATATCAACGAAATGGTGTCGCCGCTCTTGATGGGACTCTCTCGATGGAAAAATCCCCACCGCGCTTCGTTCCTACGGCATGGTGAGCCATTGTCACCGACGATCACGGGACCGTACGTCGTGGGATAGACCAAGTTCCGCCCGACCATAAATTGCGAGTGACCGTTCTTCCAGCACAACACGGGAAACTCAGAGTTCGAGTCGACAAAACGTGCGGTCACGCGGGTCTTGGGGTATTCGCCAGGCTCGACCAATCCAATGCTGACTAACTTGGACAAGTCGGCGTACTCTCCCAGCTCCCTAAACGTGATTTCGAACTGGACGACCAGGAAGGCCGGCGTTGGGGGCAGGAAAATGTTGTGCCCAACCAGCGCGTTCACGTACAACCCGCTTCGATCGCCGACGCTAAAGACGGCTCCGCGCTGGACCACGGTCGCATTCTTCATGTACACGAGGAAGCGGAGGTGCTCCTTGTCCTTCGGGACGTTTTCTTCTTGGGTCTTGAGCGTGCGAATTTGCTGGTTTCGCGCTTTTACGTTGGCAGCACAAACGCACGTGTTGAGCTCTTTCAGCATGTCCTGCAGCGTAAACGACTCGGATGTTGTCATATCCCACGCTTGAATGGATTTCGCCTGCGCTCCCTTGCACACCATCGCATACCTTGACCGGAACACGTTGAGCTCGATGGACTGCCACCCCTTGGCAGCGACAAATTTGGCGAGATGTGGAAAGCACAAGTCGGCATTGAATGTCGCCATTGAGTCGATCTGCACCTCTTGCTCAATGTTGGCCGATGTAAACAGTGGATTGTCCTCATCGCTCTCGTCGTCACCTTCCGATGTGCCGCTGCTGTCGGACGATCGCGACAACCACCGCCGGCAATGCTGGTCGGCGCTCTCGAGATATCGCTGGAGGGATCCCATGTGTTTGAAGTGCCGGTGCACGATATCTTCCCCCGACAGGATCATCATGTACTGATGGGCTTGGCGTCCGAGGCTGACGCATCCCTTCTGTGAAATAAATGACGCCAGGTGGGGAAACCACTTGTCCACGGACGCCCCCACGTCCGTTGCTGGCGGCTCCGTCGTCTGGAGTGGCACATGCCTCGTCACGACGGGAGCCGACGGCAGTATCGACGGCAACAAAACCAGGCGGAACGACGTCACGGTCAGGTCGAACATGTGCGGTTGTCCAAAATCGGGGCACATGATGGAAATGACATTCGTCTGCTGGGCTTGCAAGACAGTGGCGATGATGTCGTCCGTCATTTGCGCCACGCCGTTCACGTAGCAGTTGGGATAACGATCTTGAAAGAGGGTTTCTTTCAGATGGTCGGCCAATTGCAGGAATGTGCACAAGTGCAACAGGTAGAGTTGGTGGCGCTGCCCTAGGAACGTCGCTTGGTACCGTCCGTGAAGTCGATGGAACGCAAGCTGCCAGTTCGGTTGGTGTGGGGGAATCAAGCAATGCGCCATGACGTCGTCGGGGGTGATCGTTGACTCCTTGATGCGGCGCTCCTCCATTTCGAATTCCGGACTTGTCCACCAGTAGATATGATGGTTCCCAATAAACTCTTTCTTCATGAGTGAGCGCTTCACAGACTGAATTCGCTTTGCTTTCACGATGGAATTCGCCGTATACATCACGACGTCGCGCCACGGAATCCCTTCTCGGATGCGCTTGCTCGTCATTGCCAACGCCGCAAGCGTCGCTGCATCAAAGAGACGCCACATTTTGCCATCGGAGCACATCAAATGGAGCACTCCTTCTGCTACATAGTTAGATGCTCGCTGAGGTGGAAGTGGTGCTTGACGCCGCTTCTTCGTCTCGCCGCCGCGAACCATCTCGGATTTGCCAAAGTAGTCGACACGCGGATCAGTTCGTGTGCAAGAATAGAAATGCACAGAAATTTATTTTAATATATGAACACACAAGATTAAAAGCTCCCCACGATGACATCGGACATCCTTCAGGCACTCCATTCATCACAAAAGACCTAGAAACTGGCCGTTCGTGTCGGAGTGGCCACTGCATCTCGAATGAACTATCGTTTGCATGCGTTCGCTGTCGTTTATATTGACCCAGCGCTGAATACGCCTGTAGCTGCCATCACCGTCTGTATGGAGCATTTGAGAATATTTTTCTACCTAATTCTGCAATTTAAATAAATTCTTCGCCCATTCTTGTTTTTTAATTGCATGATATCTCGACAATGCGACCGATCGATGCGGGTGAATCTGTGTGGATAGAGAGACATTCCATGGGTGAAACATTTCACCTGATTGTGTGCACTACTCTTTGTCCTTGCACTCTTATTCTCCCGCACAGTGCTTCTTGCATCTCGGAAGGAATCCGGCGCATTCCTCGGGCCAGTTTTGTTGCAGCTCGAAACACAACTTCAGCCCACGCTCTACGGATAACTCTCTGCGTATCCGTCGTCCGGATATAAGTTCTCGCACTTGTTGTGTGGAGCTTGGCTGAGCATGGCAACCTTCCTCCATGAACTCGTGAATCGTACGAGCGTGCATGCTGATGCGATCCAATGTTTGAGGACTGATCTGTCTATGTGGCTATAGACATGGTGTCCGTGACGACAAACGACGGCCGCAACATCATTGTCCGACAGTTTTACCATTCGAAAACGCGTCCATGCTGATGCCAATGGATTGTGGATTGGATAGGGTGTGCTCAAAGGATACGACCAGTGCATCAACGTCATCCTCGACAACAGTTTTGAGCGCGTGTACTCTATGACCGACGACGTGCAGATCGAAAACCTCGGGCTCTTTATTGTTCGCGGCGACAATATGTCAGTACATTGCCATGGTGTTATTCTAGGAATTGATGTATTCCCTAATAGCGCCATTATCGGGGAAGTTCCTGACAACGTCAAGGAACAAAGTCAAAGCGATACATTACGAGCCCCCCCCATGAAGCCCGTAACGCATTAAGCCGTCCATGCATTCCTTCATGTGTCCTCAACACAATCCACGTTCCTGCTCTTATCTCCAGTACAAGCCCGGGTGCGTTTTCCTTTTCTGGCCGAACTAACCTGGGCATGATCAGCGGAGGCCTAAGACGGCAGCCGGCCCCGGATATCAAGAGGACCTCAGAGGGGGCGAAACGAGATTCCTCGTGTTCACAACGTACTAGATAGAATAAAGAGTGCTAAGCACACTCGCTGTCAACCCTCGTCGTCAGTGCACAAATCACTACACTACGTGAGTCCCCGAAAGTTCAAACATCCCTCACCACGTTGAAAGAATTGCTACCTTTCCACGCTAAGGCGTTCATGTTGTTCCTATAGCTCAGGAGAATCCGGTGCATTTCGCGCCTACAAGAGTTGTGATATGCCGTGCATCTTTATGGGCGTAACATTGCCGACCATTTGAAGTGTGTCGATTGGGATTCAGGCTGTTTGTCTGTTCGGTGGTAGCATGAACCTGTTCATGTCGTGGTTTGTCGGACAAATGTCACGAGCACGCCTTTCCATTTCGTCGCCAGAGTGCTTTCATGCACGCCAAGATGAAGCTTAGATTGAAGCGAAAGGTGGTCGAGCATGAGGTGGAGACTGCTCCTCACAGCAGAGCAGCCATCATGATTCCCAGAGATCGATGGCATTGACCTGGTCAGACTAGTGGTGGTGCTGGTTGCAGTGGAGTGAATCCCATGTGTCGTTCACCACCAAGGAAATTTGTTCCTTTAGCCTGAACTCGACAGGTAAATAGATCGATAAATTAGCTGCCTTCCCCTCGCCATCGCACAAGATTTTGGTTATGACATCATCATGGTGCTTGAGTACGTCTTGTCCGCCAGACATGACTGCATGGCTTCCACGATACCGTCGACGTGGCCGAATGCATCTCTTTTTGGCAGCGGGGGTGGATGAGCGGGTTTGCAAAGTTGTGGCGGGTGAATTATTCCCGTAGGAATCGGCTTCGATTCCGCAGGACGAGGCGGGGCCAGAGGTGGCTTCCGCAAATGGGTCAAACCCGATGACGAGGTGGGTCGACACCGCGGAACACGACTTGATCTCTCATTTGCCTGTGATGGAGTTGTCGAAACTGGTTGTGGAATTCGCACCAGCGGAACGACAGGGGGCGAGGGCTTCTTTGGTAGCTTACTGAGCCATTCGAACACAGCCGCACGATATGGCTTCATCTCGCTGTCATTCAGTCCCTCAATATCGGAGGCAAGCAGGTTCTTGGGGGCGTCGATGCAATTGAGGTGAAACCATTGCATCAGTATATGTCCGTCTTGGTGATTCAAGATAACTCCAACTCGAACAGTGTCAATCCTATGCAAACACACCATTGAGTCCATCCGGTCCAGCATACAATGCAGCCGCCACGAGCGTACTTGATTCCACATGCACGACCTAAACCGTTCGTCACGTTGAATGAACTTCCAAATCAATCCAGTGGAGAGGGATCTCTACATACATGTTGGTTCCCTCGGAGTAGGGGCACAAACTAGGACATCGCGTCGAGTCCATGGATCTTGCAGTAGTACCGACGCCTTCGAATGCATGCCTACTTGAGTCGTCAATCGAGCACCGCGCGTCGTAGCATCGCATCGCACCTTGGCGCCACTAGAGCGTCTCGTTGGTTTCTAAAGTCATCCGTGAAACGGAAATTCACGGAAGGTAACGGAATGTTTGTTTTATCCTGAAATCTGTAAGTGTTCGATTGGTTGAACAAGTCAAAGTGTCATCGCTTGCGAAACTAACCATCAACGTGTTCTGTGCCCAACGACCTTCGTGACCGTCCGGGGCGGCTGTATTCGTATAGGTCCAGAGCGTCGTGACGGTTGACAGTACTGCAAGAGTTCTCTTGCGGAAGGCTCAACCCGAACAATTCTAAGTCGAACTCGAAGCATTCTCCTGGGACAGGCCAGCGAAGCAGTCAGGATGAAGTCTGGAAGGAGAAATGACTGTCACAATGGATTTTGAATATCTAAATATAGAGACTATCGACTGTGGAAGGTTTGAAACTGCCACGTCATACTCGGAAAATAGTTTTATTGCGCAACGATGCACATGCATAATTTAGTATGTTTTGTCCCGACGATATAAAAATATTTGTACCTGCATATAACAACAAATGTCTGTATCGTCACGAAAAAGGTTCAAATTCCTTGCTTTAACGACGGTTGTGGCATTCAAGTCAAGGCTCTTGAATTCCGCTGGTATGGGATTCCACAGGGCGTACCAGAGAAACCTACTCGAGTCCCACAAAAGAGACCAATTTGGCGTATAGATGAGTGACGCGGCAACAGCTGAGACTCCCGTGACCCTAGTCGTGAAGAGCGTCTACGAGCGCAACCTGTCCTTAGAGCTCAAGATGGAAGGAAGCAGTACCATCTTGCAAGTCAAAGAGCGCATCCAGCAGGAATTGCCGTCCGCAGCTCTGCCGAAACACCAACGGTTGATCTTTGGAGGCAAAATATGTGACGACGGTCAGAGTTTGGCTCAAGTCCTCAAGAGGGTACCGCTAGCATGCTAGTGCCGCAGATGCCGACATCACTCACGACTTCCTGATTAGATGGATCCGAACGAAACGTACACGTTTCACTTGTTGGTGAGTCAACCCAACAAACCGACAACGACACCTGCTGCCCAGCCAGCTACCGCACCTCCAACACAGGCGCCAGTTGCCCCTCCTCCAGTAGCTACACCTTCTACGCAGTATGGTCCGACTGTGTTTGTTCCGGCATCTCCCCATACAAACCAGCCACACGATCCGATAACTCCAGCTCCGACTGCGACTCCTCCACATGCCGCTGGATCCTACTCAACTCCTCAAGTTTCGCCTTTGCAGACCATGCATTTGCAGCATTACTTGGCGCAACAAGAGCTCATGTTGTCTATGCAAATCCAGTACCTGCGCCACATTCAGCAGTTCCAGCATATGCACGGCATTCACTTCAATCCCGACATACCCAGCACATACAGCGTAACCCCCCCACCTCCCGCACAATTCCCAACTTTCCACTTTGCTGCGTTGAGGGTTCCAACTGTTGCCGCCACCAACGGTGGCGCAGATGTCCATGCCGCACCTGCCGCACCTCGATTCCAAGCGCTTCGTGCTGTATTGAGCCTCTTGGACATCACCCTTGCACTGAAAATGTGTGTGATGGTGTACATCATCGGCCAAGACTTGCCGCCTCCGCGATCGTATGTGCTTCTCGGTCTCGCCGTTGTCATGTACCTGTAAGATCTTTCGACAACAAATGCACAAACGATGCTGAACGTATTGGCTTAGGTTCATGACTGGAATTCTGCTCAAAATCTACGACATCCTCAAAGGGAACCCCCACATTGATCGCGCACCACCAGCCGGGGATGGTGAGAACAACGGAGACCTGTTTAATCAGCTGAACGAGGCCGCCGCCAATGCCCCCCCCGGCCGTCCCATCGTGACAATCGCTACTGACGGCGGCGTGCTACGTGACATCCAGTCGTTTGCAGTCGGCCTTGTCCTTAGTTTGTTTCCATCCTGGCGTCCCTTGCCGTCAGCTCCTACGAACGTCCCCAACAACGCGGCGGCGGCGGATTTCCCTGTTGCCGTGGATGCCCAAGGTTAATTTATGTAGAGAATGCTTGCGTATTTTAGAATTCCGTGTAGTAAAAAACTCGGGTAGTTCTCAAGATCGTACAACGAGTGGAAATATTTTTCACGATCGTCCAAGTTGGCCGTTCGTGAGGTATTTTTATTCCAAATCATACATCGCAGCATGGTTAGCTAAAAGTCTCTTGAGTAGGAGGCATGTTGGGCCAGGTGTTCATGAGTATAGATCGAAAGTCGCTGGGTCCTACCGCTCGGTGGCTGTCGCGCTTGGTGTGGCGTCGTGGACGGCGGGTGCGGTCGGTGTTTACTGGGGGCCGCTGAAATTCTGGAATGGAGAGGACTAAACCCCCCACGGACTAACTTCCGAAGTGCTTAAGCACATGAGATTTTTGGCCAATCATGCACCGGTGAGCGATTTGGAATAAAAATACCTCACGAACGGCCAATTTGGACGATCGTGAAAAAAGTTTCTACGATCTTGAGCAATACCCTAAAAGTCGCTAATATTCCTAGTGGATGGAATTCCAACCGACTAGAAGTATAAAAGAACGTTTTGTCTAGACAAGAAAGAAATGAGCTTTTAAGGAATGTTCGTCTTCGATGCGTGTTTTTGTGGTCACGGTCCATCGAGTGCGCGTTGATGCTTCATCGGACTGGACGCCCGAAGGTTCTTGTCAAGCATAGACGACGCAACGGCTTTCTTTGGCACAGATCTCGCTTGGCGCAGAGGTGTCACGTTGATGGACGTGTCTAGTAGAACAGCCGTGGTCAAGCGCTTCCGAGGTGTTGATGGCGCCGCTTGCTTGGTATCGTCATTGTCGTCGTCAGTCTCGGGCACTTCGAGTTCGAGACAGGATGACGACGAAGGTGGTGCGTTGGGCTGTTGAAAGGACGATGTGGATGAAGGCAAGCTTAAGCAGATGGCCACGGGGGACTTTACGGCCAAGACAATACTCTGGATGGCCGCGTCGTTGGGACTCAGGACTGGGGCAGCTGGGTTGGACCGACACACAGAGTTGTTGCAGCTCGAGTTGCCGCATCCTTGCGTCAGAATCGCAAAATACCTGCACCACAAACTCGCCTCGTGAGTAGGTAGCTTAGAACTTCCGTCGCGACACGAGCATCACGTACGCTTGGACGAGACCCTTCGCATACTCGCAATCGACCTTTCGCCGCAGCATGAGAGCTTCGGCACGCGCTTTGGCAACGGTGTCTTTAATGCGGTGACCCAGCTAAGAATAGACAATCCAAAACGGTAAATTCATCAACTCTCCATTCCGAAATCATATGCATATGATGAACTGGGCTGCATCCTGCATGCACTGGACGCTGAGTTTGCCGGTAAACTTCAGACATGGCACTCTCCAGGACGGGCGGCACAGCTGAGCACGTCGTCTTTCGCTGCATGACGCGCTCAATCGGACGTCTACTCCACCAACGACGATTGCAATTCAATGTGCGGAGTCTCTTCTTGACGGCAACCACTGCACATGGGGTGGTGCCTCGAATGCAGGATGTATCGAGTGTGTTCCGGTCGTTCTGAAATCTACCTTTGCCTAGCCGCGATGATTCACCAAGACATGAATTCATCTGCAAGCAAAGTGGAGCGGTCACTATATCAACATGGAAGGGCCGATGAGATCGATCCATGTTGGCATACGGCTTCGTCATTTGCCACCGGAACGAAAACAAAACGCATCAAAAGTGGTGAAAACAATGTTCCTTGCACAACGTCACACTTTTGCAGGGGGGCGATCCAGTACTTGGTCACATCTTGGTCATGTCTTGCTGGATTTCTTCGAGCGTCTTGCCCTTGGTTTCAGGCACGTACTTGTACACAAAGATAAACGCGATCGTGAGCACAATGCCAAACGGGACGAACGTGTTCTCGAGCAACGACGACTGCATCGTGGGGAACGCAATCCCGACGACAAAGCTGAACGTCCAGTTGACCATGGTCGCCACCGACATAGCGGTCGGGCGCGGCTTGGCGGGGAACATCTCTGCGACGATGAGCCAAGGGATCGGACCAAGACCAATCTCAAAGAACCACACAAACAGCATGACGCCGCCGACGCTCACCATGTCGTAGTATGGGAGCATGTGCCACAGTCCAAGCGTCAAGAGGATGCACGATACAATCATACCGCCGCACGACCAGAGAAGCAACGGGCGCCTACAGCGACACGTTTGAGGGCGTGCACACAACAATTGATGCGAATCTGTACCGGCCGGCCGTGTCCATGAGGACGAGGGCAACCCCCGTGGAGATGACGTTGATGGCACCGACCAAGGTGGCCCCCACCAACGGGTTGGCCAAGTGCACGCCCTTGAAGAACGAGTTGGCGTAAAACATCACGGCGTTGATCCCGCTCAATTGTTGTGCAATTTGCAGAGCAATGCCAACAATCAGAGGGAACCGAATGCTCTTGTCTACGCATCCGACGTCATCAACGCCTTCACAATCCCAGACAGGTTAAAACGTACCCGAGAGCACTTCCCACACCGTCATGTCGGACGATTCGTTGTCGCTGGCAGAGCAAATGCTATCGATTTCTTCATAAACGTCGGCGGTGCCACGCAGACGGCGCAAGATTTCTTAGCAACAAAAGTTGTAAGTACTTGTTGACAATCAGTCGAGAGGATTCGTACCAGCAGCCTCCTTGGGCTTGTTTTGCGTCAGCAACCAACGTGGCGACTCCGTCAAGAACGACGCGAGCGCGAGTTGAAGCAAGGCCGGGATGGCCGTAAAGCCGAACATGAAGCGCCAGCCGGGATGGGCGAAGCCATCGCTCACATCGGAAAAGCCAAACGCAAGAACGTCAGCTGCCAAGATACCCAGGACAACACCGAATTGGTACCCCGTGCCCAAAGCCCCTACAGTTCGCAGCGCCGTCAGAGTCTAGCCCAAGGTGTCGTGATGAAGAACAAACCTCGCAAGTTGGGAGGGGCGAGTTCACCCAAGTAGAGCGGCACAACGACACTGACAGTCCCGGCGGCAAAACCAACGAGGAAGCGGCCAGCCATGAGCCAGTAAATGTTGTTGGCGAACGCCATGAGTCCACCCGCCAAAATGAACAAGAACGAGTCGAAGATCAGCGCCTTCTTGCGTCCGTACGTTTGACTGATCTGACCAGCGACCAGCGACCCGATCGGCCCGCCGATCGCAAAGATCGATACGACGATAGACCATTCCAAGTTCTTTTGCGTCGTCGACTTGACGGCTTCCGGGAAGATAAAGTCGGTGTTCAACGCCCCCGTAACGCCGATGTTGTACCCAAACTGGAACGCACTCACAAGCGCGACGCAGCACGAGAGCAAGAGCGGGACAGTGTACCCCGGTTCGCCGCGGGGCTCGCCCAACAACGCTTGGCCTTCGCCTTGGGATTGTCCGACCAAGTTGGTGAAACTTCCCCATGAGCTCCTCGACTTGATGTTGGAAAAGCTTCGTTCGCGTTGAAAACTCTGTCGTCGCATCCCCGGCAGCGCCATGAACGGCAATTCATGATACAATCGTTTTTGCTCTTCGACTGAAAAGGTTGCCGTCAGTGTCGCTCATTCGGCACGCCCACTCCATGAACTTACCGTAAAACTGCAGATTCTGCGCTGTATTCGACCGCTTGCGCATACCTTCCTCCTTCTTGATATCGGCCCATGACCCCTTGTTCGCGCCAAGGGTCACAGCGGACTGACTGTGCTGCATGCTACTTGTTTCCCCAATCCGACAATGAGCTTTCGTCTCTGGACGGTGGGGAGAAAGATTCCGCGATCATCCGAATAATGTATCCGGATATCGCACTCCTCTTGATACGTATCAGTACTTCAACACCACGGTCGCCGAAGTACTCCGGCGAGCAACAGCCTGCGACCACGGCAAGGTCGGCTCCGTGCATGCATCTCATAAAGAAGAATGCGCGAATGGGCTATGCGCTATCGCCTTCCTGCGCGCTCTCGCCCAGCCCCTCTTCTCCCTCCGTCGATCGAGGAGTCTATAGCGCCATGTGAGTAACATGTGACGTATTCCTGCGACAAAGGATGTCGACGGCTGACAACCTGACACATTCCCCTGCACACGACTCAATAGGCAGCACCAGTAGTTGCCATATCCTATAAAACATGGCAGCGTTCATGGCTGAACTTGACGACTTGTGTCAGCTTTTAGACATGATACGTCGGTGCTGGACTTTCGTCGAGCGAGAAGTCGCGCCTCATGCCTCAGAACGCTCATTGCGCAGCCTACCGCTCGCTCTTGCGCATGACAATGTGGTGCACTGACTTGTTGATGCTCTTGTTCTTGGCTGCCTTGGCTGGGGTCAAACCCTGTTAACACCGCCACTTTCACAACAAGAGACCAAGTCGTCTTACGAGCAGTCGCGGCATCGAGGAACTGGAACGACGGCGGAAACGGGGTCACGTCCCCATCTTGCTCGTCGACTTCGCCGTTCCATTCGCAGTGCACTTCCGGTTCATGAAATGGGCATGGTGAACATCCCATTGCCTCGTCGGCAATGCATTCACCCGTCACGACATTTTGCCAGAAGTGGCAGCCTGCTTGGAACACGGGCTGCCAGTTTGCTTCCACGTCGTGGTGGGGAGATGGTTCTATGTATCTCTGAGTCTGGAGCTGTCTTCATGCTCTCCAAGTTCTTACGCTGCTTGATGCTCATGCGGCGGTTGTAGTGGTGGCCGTGGTGGCCATGGTGATGGTCCAGCGTTTTCCCAGTCGCACTGTACGCGCCTTGCTTGTGCGCTTGCTTTCTCGACATAAACTGCGTGTCCGGCCGGGTCCGATCCTTTGACTCGTCATCGTGCAAATACTGCATGCGGGACGCATACATGAGCGCTACATGACAACAAGCCAAGAGTCGGCCAAGGCAACATGCCAGTCCGTTTCACCATTCGTGTCGTCGAGTGGCGTGGCAAACGACCCGCCGCCGCCAGCCGTCGTGCCTGTCGCCATGGCGTGCGGAAAGAATCTCCTATTTATAACTCGTACGCACATCTCCTTGAAAGGACCGAAAGTTCACTTCCTGGGACGTGGAATTCGCAGCTCACCGTGCTCACAAACGGTAAAAGCAGACGAAGCATTCACGATTCAAACAATCACGCAGTCCCTGCATTCAATTCCACTGATATAACCCTTGCGTGCGCCAGACTAAGCTGCTGCTGCCAGCCACAGCTGCAGCCATCGTCCACATGCACCATGCTATTCGTCATTGTGTTCGTTGCCGTCCCCTTCAGCGGCCGCCGCTTCCACTTCCAACTCTTCTTTGTACATTTCCACAGCGGTGGTGTACATTCCAAGGTACATCGGGTCCGCGCAGTTCGATTCAGTCGCGTCGGGGATCCCTCGCGCGGCCACTTCCTTTTGGATCCATGCTTGGGCGCCAACTGTATCGAGCCAGACGCCAACTGCAACCGAATTCAGTCACCGACCTGTCACGCAAAGATAAAACGTACTGTTGTGGGCGCAGTAAACAAATGCTTCTTCGATCGACCCCTCGCCAGGGTTTTTAATGTCTTCGACGTACTCGACGACCGAGTTGAACGCATCGAGACCGGCAATAAATACCCCGATGAACGGATTGCCGTTCCAGGCCTTGGTAAATGCCGCTTGCACCACATCCTAACATTTGACGGCGACATTTGAGATCGATTTAAAGCGAGGAGATGGCGACGAGGGTGTGTTACCTCGGATGAACCTTCTTCTTCGAGAACTTCCCAAGATACGTATTCAATGATCGTGCGGCAGTACTCGAGCACAGGTGACACGTTGTCGTAGCGCTCAATCAGGGCCCGCGCCTCGTCGGCACGGCCTTCGTCGATGAGGGCACAAACCAACCCTTCTCGGGCGCAAATGACATCAGTCGGATCAAGCTCAATGCACTCTTCGAAGTGCGCAATGCCGTTGTCAATCATGCCCGCCGCACACGTGGCCAGCGCCAAGTCTTTTCGCAGTCTACTTCGGCGTCACAGCAATCGATCGTTTGTTAGAGTTGGTGGAGCAGTCGTTGTACCGAAGGTATTCCAAAGTGTCCTTGTGCTCGGCAAATCGTCCACGCATTTCTTCAAAGAAGTCTTTGGTCGGTTCGGGTGCCTTGAATTCGTTGCCATCCTCGTCGCACTCACCATTGGCAATGCGAGCCAAAAGCGCGGCAGGCCGTGCGGCGCCACGCAACTTCCATTCCTCTGGTTTGAGTGGCCCCTTCGGGCGCTTGACAACCTACGGCATCGTCATTGTAACCGTAAGCGTCGCCTACATGCGCAGCTTTGGCGCACGCACGTGGTATTGCTCGATTGGGTACGCGTGAAGGTACTCAAGGTGCTTGTCGACATGGCGCTGAATTTGCACCATGCGCAATCGTTTTCGCGCCTGCTTCTTTTTGTCACGGGTCTGCTGGACCGAGTCATTGCGGCGCTCGTGAAAGATCTCTGCGCCCTTCTTACTTCGGCCCTTCCGTGCGCTGCGCACCTTTTGCCGCATCGAAATGTCCTTCATGGTTCCCGAGACGGAATGACCTCGTCGACGGCACGGTTTCCGTCCAATCTGCCTGTCGTGCCTTCGTGACCAACCTCCGAATCCGGATGCGTGTCGCTTCGTCTGACCAATCACAAGCATGGGAACCCAATTATGGAATATTTAAATTCGACCAATCAAAAGTTTTGTATGCATATCCACCTTTGAAAATGTCCATTGAAGCTCAAGATTCTTCTTCAGTTGGTCTGGTTGCCTCGACACCGTCAAGCGTGGAAGCTGCCGCGTAGGAAGTACCGCTTCTAGGCCACGAGTGTGCTTGGTATGAGCCATGTAGGACGATATCTACGTGCTTCACTCATGAAAAATCTCAACTTTTGGAGTTTATGCCTGGAATACACCGTCGCGACCTGGAAGAGCAGCAACCATCCTCCGAGGTCCCGCCCGAATACAACGTTGTGGCGGTATGAACATCCCCAATGCATAAGTTGACGAATGAATCGCGATGGTTCGGTGGCATTTGAGGGTTTAAAAGCCTCGGCACTTCGCTCGCAAGCCACCTCTGCAGCACAGGTGGAGGTGTGTCTCTCGCAATGCAACTATTTCGGTGAGCTTGACTATGCTGAATACAACAACACGTGAACAGACAGCACAGAGCTGGCCCAACATCTTACCGCTCCTAGAAAACGCAGATCACAACCCACATTGCGACATCCCCGACCGAAGTCGTCATCATTTCCTCGTGGATGATTGCTCGCAAGGGTCATCTCTGAAATGTTAAGACGGCGCGAGAATTTGTCCATGGCGAGTGTTTTACCTTGATATTGATCTTTCCTTCGTCGGAAGGAAACTTTCAGTTGTTGTCACATACTCCAAACGACAGGACTCGTATATGGAAGGAGTTCTAACATCCCTCTGTGTGATGTGCGGTCGATTGCTGATGTAGATTTTGTCGCTTCGACAACATACCGAGCTTGCAACGATGATATAGAAGGGGAGAAGACGGCAGGCGAAGGTAAGGGGGAAAGAGGGGGGAAGCAAGTTTGCGACGACAAAAAAGACACCCATCAAGCACAAGCTCAACGTAACATCCGCTCTGCTCTTGCAGTGGACGGCACGAGCAGAGCTGACGCGTTTCTCGTAAAAATAAAAAATAAAAAAGGCAAAAGGACGACTTCAAGTGGAGAGCCGCGGTGGGGTCCAATGCATGCTGTGATTGAGCTCAAACAGCCTAGTGATTTGGAGTCGCCGAGTTCCAGACCACAAGGCAAGAGTTCCATCATGAACAAGCATTTTTCCAGCGGGAAGTTGAATCGGACAAATTTGAAGTACACGTGAACCACATATTCGGCACCCATGAGCCTCTTGATTGATGCATGTCTCGTTGATACCGTACCTGGGACCGCCACGTTTTGAATGGCGAGGTCATGGAGATGTTGGTGCACACTCTCCATGATGCAAGGTGGATCGTATGCTATGAGTTGAAGGAAACTCGATGCCTACTTGCCCATTCGCAATTGTCCTGAGTCTCCCGTTCAAAGTCCTCTCTGAAGCAGCCCATGTGCTGCGATAGAGTCTCGAAGCAACCAAATGCATGATTGGCCCAGTGTTTTCGTGCAAGAGATGGAGCGGGTGAAGGTGAATAAAACGTGTGAGAAAAACATTGCGCGGCAGCTACCGACAGGACCATGCCATGTGTCCAACCCCCAACTTTACAAACACTATGAGTCTCTGCGATGGAATCGCCACAGAAGACGACGCTGGGATTTCCACAAGCCTGCCAGATGCAGCCATGTTGCAATCCCAGCACAGGGTCCCAGCCCACCATCAAAGGTTGCTGCATGGCCATGCGCTACTTTCTCGCGTCGTCACCACGAACACAAGAAAGGCTGCCGACATTTTCATCATTTCTCACTCCAGCCGAACCAGCAGCCATCAGGTTTCCAATCTTCTATTGTTCATCGCCAAGTGGTTTTGACATAAAACGGTTACCGAACTGCCACGAAACCGCCACGTTGAAGGGGCACGATTGGTTTCGCACCATCTGGCTGGCCTTTTGGGGGAGAGCCGCGAGGCTAAATTTCAACGCACGTGCCAGGTTTCTTCTTCAGCGCTCTCTGCCCCTCGGATGCGAAAATACCGTCGTCAAATCTTCTATAAATGGTGCCACATGCCACGTGCAGTCCCGGCGATGATGCTCCTTTGTCTTATGTCATATTTGCCGTTGCGGCAATGAGTTGACGCGCCTACAAACACTTTTCCTTTCATCACACGATGGACGCGACACAACTAACTGCATTCAAACTCAACTTGGATGCGCTTCCTGCCTTTGAGCGTGACGCGCAAGACTCGTCACCGTGTGGAGCGGACACGGATGTCTTCTTCATCACGTCGTCGCCGGCCAACGCCTTGAACGAGATGGCATTCACATGGCCTAGAGCAAGTGATGCAAACAACCTAGACGAACTCAACAGTCTCTTCACGACGAGTAACGAGAGTGCTGCCGCTCAAGTCGGGGTGGCCAAACTCGTCCCGCCCGCGGACGAGCCCAGCGTGGAAGAGCTTCGCGATTTCACTGCGGTCTTAATGACTCCGCCAAGCAAAACGCGCCCCATCAAGAGGAAGCTGCTCAGTGACGATGGTCTGGAAGCTCGATATTGCCAGCGAAATATGGAACTTCAGTCGGCTCCGAACGTCGCCTCGCCACTGACACATTACAGTCGACAGCGTCTCGAAATCGCCGAACTCACTCAGGTCGTCGAAGTGCTCGAGCGCCAGCTACAGATGCTGAAAGCATCAAAAGTCGCCCACGGGTTTACTGCATATGAAAAAGCCCTCAAATCGAAAGCTGACCTCCTCGAAGCCCAAGAGACTAACATGCGCCTCAAGCACCGAGTCCAAGGGCACCTTCGACAACGTCAGCAGCTGGAAACGATTGCATTTGGCGGCGTGTTAAGCGGAATTGCGTAAACGTTAACAATATTTGGAGCTCCCATTGTGGAATGTTTGGATGATTTCACGAGCAAGTACTGTGGTTGAATGCCTCAAAGTGAAGATATAACACTTTTCAAATGTCTTTATTCGTCCAATTTGAGAAAATCATTTCGAACAATCTTGTGGGTCGACTCGTCCTGTATCAACCAATAAAATTCTGCTAAAAGTTTACTCTCGTTTCACGACGTGTGCATACAAATCGCATGATAATATTTGAAATCAATTTTCTAAACACAAGGCCGTTTTAAATTGCGTTGGACGCAACCACACATTCACCAAATCAGCATGGGCCGGTTCAAGGAATCCACGACCCCCGCTGACGCGACGAAGCCGTCTGGTAGCAAAGCCCAGGCGAAGAAGCGCTCACGTAATGAAGAGTCGGAAGAGGAAGACGAAGAAGACGCCGAAGAAGGCGACGAAGATGATGATGGCGATGACGACGAGGAGAACGAAGATGACGACGACGAAGACGAAGACGACGACGAAGAAGACGACAAACCTTCTCGAAAGAAGCAAAAGAGGCAAGACGACGCCGACGATGATGATGACGATGATGACAATGACGACGACGACCATGTCACGTTAAACCAGGACGACTTGATCGGGGTGGACACGAGCAACATTATCCCCCGAGCGCGACGACGTGCAGCTGTGGCAGCGATGGCACTGCCCATGAACGACGACGAGGATCAACGGGATCCTCAGGATGCACCGCAGAGCGATGACGACGAAGAGGCTGAGTTCTAAGTTCGTCGTCGGCGTCCTGTATATTTTCAATCGACCGATACAAAAATGCCCAGCCACCGAAACAACGACTATTGAATCCACAACTCGCGATGTCTTGTTTCCCACTTTAACCATACGAATTCGCCTTGTGCTTGGGCACGAACTGAAAACCGTCGGGCACCGGACCGAGCAGCATCTCGGAGATCTTGATCCAGTCAACTGCTTGATCGCTGGCCATGAGCGTTTCCAGATCGTTACGACCATACTACCAACCGCATGAGGTACATCATAGCCGCAGCAACGACGCCACTTACGTAGAGCCCCGGACGTTCGTTGATGCGCTGGGGCAGCTTCTCCAGGATCCCAACGGGGATGTATCGACACAAGAAAGACTGCCACTCAAGCAGGTAACGTCGGGTGCGATTGATTCCCTTGTCAGCCATAAATGCAAACGAACCCGACACGCTTCTCGGTTCAACCTTACCTTTTGATCCGAGCCCCAATGCTCCAGTCCGAACTTGACAAAGTCTTTGAGCAAGTCGAGTCGCTCGGACGCCGAAATATCAAAGTGGCGGCGTTCCTTAATCTCCGTGGGCAACCACGGCTGCCATAGCAACGCTTAATGGACAAGAAATGCCATACGTTCAAAGCGCGACAGAACTCGCCTACCTTGATGAGAGCGCCGCGCGCCAACATGCATGTATCCAGCACCCCCGACGCTAAGTGCTCGTGAAACTCCTCGTACGACAACACGTCGCCGCCACCGATGAGCGCCATGCGGTGTTCTCCAGCGTCGCGAGCGTTCGCACATTCTTCAACGTAGACCCAGTCCGCGCTCTTGGAGTACCGCTGCAACCGCGATCGGCCGTGGATCTACTCCAATAGTCAAAAGTCGTCATGCGTGGAGCCATACAGTGAGAGCATCGACGTGGACGTCGGTGCGCATGGCGTAGTTGAGCACGACGCTTTGGTTCATAAACTCGGCGCTCGAACGAAGCGATTGCACCTTTGGCACCAACTTGTGCGCCAAAGGTTGTTTGTCTGACCACCCCGTGCGCATCTTGACAGTGAGACCCGGTCGCGTGGACAGCCCAAAGCTGCCAGCTTCGATGCCGCTCAGCGCGCCCGTGACGACTTCACACAATTTGGGGGTGCGATTCATCAAGGCCGCGCCAGCACCTGCCTTGCACACTGCGCACCAGCAACGATCACACGTGTGAACTTCGTCAAGAGGGGAGACGGACCGAGATCGATGGGACACCCCATGTTGATATCGATAAAATCCACAGACGTCTACATGTTCGGTGTGAGTTAGCTTCGCTGCAGTGGCGTGATGAGTCAATGACGCGTACCTCGCGAGTTATGAGTTCGCACACGCGGGCCGTCTGGTCTCCATACGCCCCAGCGATTTGCACGCCAAAAACGTCTTCGCTCTCGTGGCGGCGCAAGAGGGCCCACTCCGATTGCTACATTCCCACCGCGCTCCATCAAACGCTGACCAGGACCATTGGATGCTTCCTACCTGGCCTTGTAGCAAGTTGGTTGTCATCGCCATCTCGCCGCACGTGATGTCGGCACCCCACTGCTTGAGCACCCGACGAAACGGCAAATTACCCACGGTCGTCAACGGCCCAATGTACACTTTTCCCTTAAAGTCGACGGGCTTGTGGTCGGGAACCTTTGGGTTGTCGACAGGGTCAATCTATGTGTGCTCTGAGCGACGTTTTTGCATTGACACAGGAGGAATCCCTTTGACGTGTCATTATCACACGAGAGATTTTGTGACATGATCTGTTCATTACCGTGAAGTCGCGGGACTTCTTGGCAGTGCCGCCCTTCTTCTTGTACGTCGACGCAACGGCGCGGAATGGATACGTACTTTTGCGCAACAAGTCGCGGTTCTCCATGCTCAAGTCGTTGACTTCGGTGGCCTTCAAGTCAGCTGGAGTACCCAAGTTGACATTGTTCGCGTCCACGTGCGAGAGGCCGTAGCGACAATTGAGGCCGTAACGACAGTATCCGTTCGCGGTGAACACCGGGCACGTGTCCCCGAGGTCTTTGGGACGGCGCTTCAAGAAGTCTGCGACGTCGTGGCTGAACTTGCACTTGTCTTCAAACGAGCACCCTTCTCCAGCCGCAACACCGCGGCATAGCATTGTCGACGGGTCGTCCGTTGGGTCCCGTGGACGCTTCTTGAAAGTGCCCCGTTCGCGTTCTTCGTTGTCGCTACACAAAGGGTAAATTGGGCGTTCAAATGGCCACATCATTACTCTTTCTTCTCCAAAACTCTGCGAAACCTGGTGGACTGTCATGTGAGTACATGGATGGAGGATAACATGCGTACTCGGGCTTAATCGGAGCTTCACCGCGGCGGTCTTCAACTTCCGTCGTGGATGTCTCAACCTCATTAGGCGCAGATATCTCAACTTGTTCCTTGAGTTCTTCCATTTGACTACCCAGGCATGAAATGAGAAGGTCGCCACGTCCAAGGTCTCCTACTCCGACTTGTTGGAATGGCGCGATGGAATCGATGGCTGGTTTACTCTCGTGGGCGAATTGCGAAACTTCGAGACAATATTTGACATCAGTTCCTTATTTCAGTACCAATTTGTACATGTAGTTTATTTGTTTGAAATAGCGTGTCGAGAAGAATTCACCACACTCGTGGCAAACAAATTCTAATGAATGCAGACATCAAGAAAATAATCTCAATTTAGAGGAATTTATCTCGTTGAGGACATTCCAATGTGCGAAATTGATACAATTCATTGGTTGCACGTGAATTAGAATCTTCAATTCAGTACATATCGTAGTTCGTAGTACTAGTGTACTATGGTTCACAAAGCTGTCGCGCAAGTTGCTTAGCGGAGTTGCGGCGCAATTGCCCCAGCACTTCGCACCAGAGACACATCTAATGCTACTACTAATATTATCAACTGCATCCAGCAAAGTTGGTTGTGGAAGTCGTTGCCGATTGGCGTTTGTGTGCGTGTGGCATCGTTCGTCGAACCATTTCAATCGAAGAGAGCGGCTTGAACAAGTCTATGGCAGGTCAAGCACTCAATTGTATTTGGAGGAGTATCTATCAAGCCCAACATCGACATGTTGACCAGTGTCGCGGTAGACTTCAAATTGCGCCAACACGTTTGTCGTTCAAGGCCACGTGCAGCTGCATGAACTCAGCCATTGTACGTCTCGATACGGTGTTCTGGTGGCCTATATGGCTCGCTTATGAACGCAAGGCACGGGAGGCTACTCTTGCCCTCATGCCAGAATTCCGGGTTAACGGAGTAGTGTACGCAGTAGTTCGTTCCACTGGCGAAACATCCCCTCCAAGACACCGATGGCAAGGCAAATAGTCCCGTGCGACCTAAAATGGCTCGAATATGCAGTTTGAAAGTCGTGAACTCACAATTGACGAACCAAAGTTCGGTGTGCAAGCTGAACTCCGAGGCTACGTTTGTTTGCATTGAACACAAAACTGTGGCCATATACAGCGAAATGAATTGTCCTACCGCAAACGTGAAAACAATTATCACTGGCCAATCACGCGCCTTAGTTTGGTTTACCGATTTTTATTGGTCAACATTGTTGGTTCATCTTCACCACACGTGTACCGTACTTGACATGTCTGTTGCGAAGGGAAAAAACCTGTAAATACTTATTCAATCAATATATTATTTTCTGCAATACTCGTTTGTAACCTATACCCATGAAAATTTATAAGTTCACATTGATTTGCAGAAAGGCGGCTAGTTTCAATGATGGCGCCAACTCAGCTCGATGGCGGACGCACCGGGCGCCCTAGTATCAAACAAATCAA